GTGAACTGGACTTTTTTATCTGAGGGGTTTGGGTAAAAAAAGACATTCAAATGCCCTCTTGATGATTTCCTTCTTTATTATCCGTTTTCTGTTCTTCTGTTCTTTTCTCTCCCTCCATAGCTTATATACCCCCAATAAACTCTTTCAGGCAATACAAGAGTCACAAAGAGGTTACATTCCATTTTTAAGTGAATGATTATAGATAAAATGTGGTTGGTTTGTTTGTTTATCTCCCTTACATGATTAAAAACAGTCATCCTGACAAACCACATACAATATATCTAAGTAATCTGTCATGGATTAATAGATCATGAGCAAGCAAGGAGCATATTTTCTCAGCCAACTCTTTTGTTAACAGGCTGCAAATTGCAGTTACAAAGAATCAATCACTTTATTATCTATCTTGAGAGTTTCTATCTTGAGGGTTAATCTTATAAGAAATTTTAAAGAAGTCACAAACCTAAACTTTTATACATAAAAAATAATCAGTCAGCTAAACTTTAACTCTTCAGGGTGCATACCCATATCAGAAAATTGAGGTCAGGAATGGGTGCAAGGAATTAACAATCTGGATGTTTTGTATTTACAACTCTGGCCTAATGAATCAGACAGCTCAGCTATGTGTCCTTGTGGGTTTTAGATTGTTTTTCTGGGGTTATTTATCTTAAAAAACATTACTCAGGCATCTGTCTAACCTGAAGTTATTTTGAAACTTTGTTTCAGCTAATGGTGCACACTGAAACCCATGACTGCATCTTTTCAGTATTAAGAGAATTAAAGTCAGCCTAGCTCCTGGGGAAATTCAATTGTTTTCCTTAACCATGAACCTGAGCTGTGATCTAAAGCAACTCCTAAGTGTAACTCATAGGCCTTAGTTATGAAACATAATCTTGCATTTACTTTTATTCATCAAAATTCTATATAGGCTATCATTTTTATCAGTTAGATAGTACAGCTTAGGGAGGAATCATCTTGACAATCCACAGATAAAAATGTCCAGTAGACCAAGATGCTTTCATGAGATAAACATACTAGATTACAGGCAGTGGGGATCTTCCCACATCCACTCACACCATGCCAGATGCCAAAGAAAGACTGTAGCAGCAAACATAAAGGCACAGCGGAAGCAAAAGACATTCGGGTGTCTGGAGTCCCGTGGCCTTGCCTAAATGAGAGTCACCCATCAGAGAGTTTCCTCCTGGTGGGCTGACACGTTGAACTTCAATTGCCACCTGCTGTTCCTCTGACATGGCCACTGGCAAAGTCCTAAGTTTATAAGGTCACAAATGCTACTTCAAAAAGGTAGAGAGCTGTGAAGAGAGTGAAAGTACATGGCACATAAGCATGAAAACCAGACTTCAGATTACCCAGAACCCACATGGAAGCCTGGCAGGGAAGGTGGCTACCTGTAATACAGGCACTTGGGAGACAGAGACAGGGATCTCAGGGCAAGTTGGCTAGTTAAGACAGCCAGAATTGGCAAGTTCCAGGTCAAATAAGAAACCTGATTCGATATGTAAAGTGGAGAGTAATTGAGGGAAAAAAAACCAATGTCAGCTTTGGGCCTCCACATGCATGAACACACGTGTGCATGTGTACTGAGATACATGCCAACCCACACACATGTAAGCACATATACCACACACACACACCCAAACACACACTACTTTCACACACACACACCATACTCATACAGACCACACACTAACACCACACACACACACACACACACACACTCACGCACACACATACACACACAATCATAACACACAAACTACACACACACATACACACAAACACACACTCACTCATTCACACTCACATACCGTATAGGTGGATGATAAGTTGTTAGGGCTTAGGCAAAGCATAAGACAGTAAAAAAATCTTATAGCCAATGTCTACAGGTTCAAAAAGTCAGTCAATAAGGGGGCTGGAGAAATGGTTCAGCAATTAAGAGCACTGACTGCTCTTCCAGAGGTCCTGAATTCAATTCCCAGTACCCACATGGTGGGTATAATAGGATCTATAATCATCTATAATAGGATCTGATTGCCCTTTATGGCCTGCAGGTATACATGTAGAATGCTCATACATAAAATATAAATAAATAATTTTTTTAAAAGTCAGTCAATAAAACAGAGTAAAAAATGTGGCTGCAAAGAGAAACAGAACAGTCATACTTTGTAATGGGTCCAGAGACCAGGTGGATAGAAGCAGCCATGGTTAACAGAAGTGGAGGGCAGAGAGAGGAAGTCAGTTTAGAAGAAAGGTGACCACTGTAATGTGGACAAAGAACAGTTAGGATAGTGGTGCTTACCCACCACCTCCAGACACTCACTGCTTACTACATACTATGTACTGCTTGGGTCCTGGCTGAGAAAGTCACATCCCTACATGAACACAACAGAGAAATCTCTCCAAACGACACAATCCCCCAGCATAACTGTAAAAGCAACTTAAGTGGATAAAACCATAAACACAAAAATAAGTGTTCCAAGGTTTCTGCTTCTACAGAGACCCTGTGATCTCACATTCATATATTATATAAAACCACAGAATACTTGAAAATATGCACAACATCTTTAACTATTATTTAACTTTGAGGGAAATGCAAACCAAAACTATGACAAGACACTGATCTACAACTAATAAAATGGTTGTTTTCTTTAAATCAACTAACATGTAATAGCAAGGACACAAAACAGGACAAAAAAAATTCTCTCAAGGACAAAAAAAATTCTCTCAAGGACAAAAAAAATTCTCTCACACATGCTGCTGAGAATACAGAATGCATTGGAAAACACCCTTATGGATTCTTATACAATTAAGCACATACCCTCCTTCCAGCCCAGGGACACCACTCCTGAGCAGCCTGCGAGTGTATGTGTGTGTGTGTGTGGGGGGGGGGGGGTTCCCTTCCAAACACTACACATAGATATTTACGAAGCTCAATGAATAACCACTGGAACCTGGGAATAGCTCAAATGTGTATCAGTACTGAACAGAGCCACACATTCTGAACTGCCAGTGACAAGAAGCAATACAAAGAGCCAACAGCCCGACAGAAGAGAAGGAAGCAGAGCATGGAACGCTGCATGGCACATGCTACCTGCTACGTGACACCGAAAAGCAGTGACTGGGGCTTGGGGTAGAAAGGGCACTCGTGATAGAGTGGTATGAGTGAAACACTGTCAGAACTAATGTATCCTTTTAAAGGGTGACATTTACTGTGTGCACAGTATTCCCAGAGGAACTAAACAATACATAGCACTTCACACATGTTTTTAACAGGGCCGGAGAGATGACCCAGCAGTCAGGAGCACTGGTTGCTCTTTCAGAGGACTTGAGTTCAATTCCTAGCAACTACATGGATGCTTACAAACATCTGTAAAAACAGTTCAGGGGGCCCAATCCCCTCTTCCGGCCTCTGCAGGAAGCAGACACACATTTTTAGTGCAGAGACATGCATGAAGGCAACACATTAAAACTAAAATTAAAAAAAAAAATTAAGCACGTTACTGTCATCTGTGATTACTACAAAATCCACAGTGATTTCTTAACTAGTTAGAATTCTACAAATGCCCTTATATTTTGGAAAGAAATGAAGCAACCCATGCTTTTTCCCTCTCTGGACCCCCAAACATTCCTCTGTGGACTTGGAGTGCCAGGACATCAGAATGTGTAGAATCTGTGTGAATTGGTTATTGAGGCACTTAGACAGGGGCTCTTGTTTGCTGGACAGCTGTTGGCCTCATTGTTCTTTTGTCACACGCTAAAAAGGGGAACTGGTATGCTGAGGGAATGTGACCTTCTCACTGGATAGCTGTTACATCACGTCTTGAAACACTGGCCAAGGAATCTGTTTTTACCCTGCACCATGAAGGAAATGGTGAAACATTAACAACCAAAGATCCCAAAACCCCAGTAAATGGCTGGTATTAGCTTTTAAAATCAGACCACATGCAAGAAATGTTGCATGGTCTAGTTTACATTTTTAAAAAGTTACGTGTGTGTGTGTGTGTGTGTGTGTGTGTGTGTGTGTGTGTTTGCACACATGCACGCATGCATGGGGGAGTGGTTACAAATGCATGCCAAGGCATGAGATCGGAGGTCAGAAACAATTTTTTAGGAGCTGGCTCTTTCCTTCTACCATGTGGGTCCCGGGGCTAGAACTTGGGCCATCAGGCTTGAAGTGCCTTTGCCTTCTGAGAATCTTGCTGGCTCCAAGTCTCCAGTTTACTCTCTAAAAGAACTGTTTTGACTTCATTTATTATTCTTGGGATGCAATTTTAGTAAGATTAATTTAGGAGTGAAAACTAACTCTTAAGATACTTTTTAAGTGTTTACTATAGGTATGACATGCATAGAAACCCCGTAAAATTATGGCGGCATCAGCTTGGATTGTGTCTGTTCCCTTTTCCTGCAGGACCAGGGTACTGGAGATTTAAGCATGCGAGGCAAGCACGGAGTTGCTGAACTGTCCCCAGCCCAGCTCCTACCTTGATACGTTGCCATTTTCCTGCTTGGCTATTTATAAACCTTTCTCACTTGAACAAGAACTTTCGATCTTTCTTGACCATTATCCTCCTAAGACATATGTCCTCCTAGGTCTACATTACAATTCAGTACAGCTCTCTATGTACCTGTGCACAGTACAACACTGAAGCTGTACATGACGATGCCGACCTGTACCATGCAGTATTCTTTTTATTAAGTCCTTTACAATGCTGGCAAAGACCCATGTAATCCATACCATTCTCACTGCCCCATGATGAAAAACAAAAGCAATGTCTATGCATGTGTAAGTCATTTAATTAATCAATTTCTGTGTGTGTGCATGTGTAAGCATGCACATACACCCCAGCCTGTGTGTGGAGAAACACTTCCAGGTGCCGGTAATTGGGAATTTTTAAACTTCCACTCACTATTATCTCCTTCCATTGCTTACCCACACTTTTGGGCACTAGCAAGAAATCTTCAAATGATGATTAAAAACTTACTTTCAGGGATTCCCACAAAGGAAACTGGACCAAGGAGAAAGGAATCTGGAGAGAGAGGAAAATAATGCAAATTAGGTAAAAATATATCAGTGCTTGACCTGGCATTATTGTAAGAACCCACAGGGCTTCACTTCATGTTATGGCTGTAACATGACCATTACTAAGCAAATACACAGGTGTAGTACATGTTTGAAAAACTGATAAACTCTGGTCATAGATCCTCTGCTTTTTCAAGCGTAAGAAACATCAAGACCACTATGAAGCCTCGGGAACTGAAGGGAAAGCAGGGCCAAGGCTGACGCAGAAACGGTAGATACACTACACTTCTACAACAACCACAACAGGAAGACCCAACCAGGTTCTATGTGAGAGCTATGGCCAGGTACTCTCAGCAAGCAGGGTGAGAGTTCCGAAGAGCCACTGAGCAGAAGAGAGAGGGTGAGGGAGTGGAAAGGGAAAGAGGTGCAAGATGGAGACAATATAAAGAAAGACGAAGGAGAGGACGAGAAGGAAGTAAAACAAGGAGAGTGAGGGGTGGAAAAAAAGTGCGGGGGAGGACAGTAAGGAGTGGGGGAGGACAGCAGGGGAGGACAGTAAGGGGTGGGGGAGGACAATAAGGGGTGGGGGAGGACAGCAAGGGGAAGAGGGAGGAGGAAACAGGTAGGATGAAGGAAAGTGGAAGAGGATAGACAACAGGAAAGGGAGAGACAAAAGGAGAGGTGGAAGAGGAGGGAAGTGTGTGTGTGTGTGTGTGTGTGTGTGCATGTGTGTGTGTGTATGTTTATGTGTGTGCGTGTGTGTGTGTGTGTGTGTGTGTATGTTTATGTGTGTGCGCGCGCGCACGCACGTCAACTGCTTGGGAAAACCCTAGAGAAAGAAAAGCTCTATACAGATTATGTTCCATGCAGACTTCAAAGTAAACCCGACCCGGGCCAAGGAGAAAGTCCCCTGTAGTCCTAGGGAGAGAGCAAGGTCATAACACTTAGAAAGTGTTTACAGTGAGCACTGGAACTGTGGGTCAGAATCACCCAGAAGCCAATCAGTGCTGTCCTCACTCTGCTGATAGATGAAGAGGCTGGGGTCCAAAGAAACTGTGTAACTTGCCAAAAGACACAGTCAAGAACTTGAGTCAGACCACCTGACTTCAGAACCCTAACTACTATTTCACCTGCAAAGATAGACGTTTAACCATGTTTATCTGCTTATAAATTCACTCAGTACAATTTCTTCGCTTTTAATTGAACTTTTAAAATTCTAAAAAAAGAAACGACACCCACATTTCCAAAATAAGAATGAACTCCGGTGGACTCCAGCACACTCAGTGCCAGCAGAGGTGACACTTGGGGGGGGGGGTCCCAGAGGCCCCAGTGTTGCCATCTCTGTACTGGGATCGATTGTCTAGACTGTGCCCGTGTGGACTGTCAGCAGTGTTGACTAGTGAGCACCCCCACATCTTTTGGAGGAATTAACACGAACTCAGGGCAAGAAGTTATTGCTGTATTTACTCAGAAACTCCAAGTCTAGCAGCATCTGTCTAAAGCAGACAGTGCCCCTGAGTGGGAAAGGCAGTGGCCACAGACACAGAATCTGTCCTACTCAGAAAGAAAATGGTAGTAAATGCGCATGTGTGCCTGTGTGTAAATGTCAATGTCACTAGTTTGGATTAAGTTGACAAATGAAAATCTCAGAGAAGCTTATTCATGTCACAAGTAAACAGCCACCCACCCTACATGTCACAGTCCCACAAGATGTTAAGTCTAGTGTTTTGATTCCCAAAACAAATCTGGCATTGTCCATCCTGAAACTCAAGAACTGCATTTTCAATGCAATCAAATACCAAAACCAGTAAAACTGGCTTCTAAAAACTTTTCTAAAATCTTGAGAAGGTATACTGTCCAGTGAGATACCCCCAAGAGGAGTAAAAGGCAGGACTTGGAGTCTTCTAATTTTAAGTTTCTTTGGACTTTTCCTTCCTAAATGTGAAGACATCACATTCTATGACAAAGTTAAAGGTCTCACCTGCAAATTTTTTTAAAAAGGCTTAAATTATTGTAAAAATCATTGCTCATTCTTTGATTAAAATAATTCCTAGGACTGCACTGAATGTTACCAGAACTTATTAGGCTTTTAAGACTATTTAATTTTTATTCTAAGGATAAATATTTTGTCCATTTGCCTCTATTGCAAATTATTTATGAAATTCTTCCTTCAGCTTACAGAAGCAACTTACATATCATACAATGGTGTGGCCCTCGTTCAGCTATTCCCCGGGGCATTGCTTAGACAAGAAAGCCCACAGTGAACCCCAGCTCGTCTCCCTACAACAAGATTAACTGACAGACTAAGGCAATTAAACATGCTGTAAATGCTTGAATATAATTTTATTTTGAGCTCTTAGTACTGAAAGGGCCCTCATAAGATAAACTCCTGCTGTGTGGAAACTTCTCGAATGTGAAGTCAAAACTGGGTGCTGCTTGCTGTCGTTCCCAGTAAGAGGAAACCACTATGGCGATGCGCCACACCCTTGTGAGGCGCACACCGCTCCACGCTGCTCCTAACTTGGGCAGAACGTGGGCTACTGGAGGGCAGCCTTCCTTTCCCATGTCTGGTTTGAAGTCAGACAACACCAATGTTTCTTCACAACGTGGGATTTTATACCCCAAACAGATGTAAGCTGTTATTCTAAAATGCTTTATAAATAAAGAAAATGAATAGCTACGCTCAGAGGCCTTCTATTCCAAAATACAACATACCCATTTTATGGCACCGAAAGTTACAAAACGGGTCACTGTAGTGACCTGTTTAATGCCTCCATTTAAGATGTTTTGTTTGAGTGAGATTGTTAAGACCCAGGGCACTAATAAGTAAGCAGCATTAAACCCAGCTACCATCAAAGAGGCAAAAGCAGGGGACCCTGCTACAATTCAACATGGATTCCACTCGGCAACAAGCAGAGAAGCAATTCTATCCTAGAGTGTATGTGAGGATCCTGGGTGAAATAGAGAAAATGAAACTCGAGTGTCCCTACAAGATGCACTGCCTATCACTGACAACACGAACAATGGACATGGTTATACCCTAAGCAGGACTTACCCATCCCCAAGTATTGGACTGCAATTATGCTTGAATTCAATCAATGCTTCTAACCTTATGATTGAAGATAAATAACCGTATAGTACTTTAATAAACAGCCAAGTGATTTATAACTGAGGGGCCATAAAGTATCATTTCTAAGGTATCATTTACCTCTTTAATTTGACTATTCGGTAGAACAATCACATAACAAGATACTTTTTTTTAAATAAATAAGGGTAGATTGTAAGCTACAATGAATACATTGTGAATGACCAGAGAACCTAAGGAACAAGAAATTATACTTTAAGAGTGAATGTTATTACACTTGGCAAAACGACCAACAACTCTGTTTATAAGCTCAAGGAAATGTTGAAATTCCAAGTTGTAATGGTTAGTCCTAACTGTTAGCTTGGTCAGATTTAAACTCATCATGGGAACACATTTCTGGCTTGTCTGTGCGGGATTATATAGACTAGACTAGCTGCAGTAGGAAGACGCACCCTTAATGCGGGTGGTATCATCCCACGGGCTAGAGTCTTACACTCACTAAGAACGGGAAACTGAACTCTGGGCAGGTAGCCTTGCTCTCTGCTGCCTGACTGGATACAATGATGGGCTGTGTCCGCTCACACTGTGACCATCCTTACGTCAAGTATTTCATTGCGGAAACAAGACAAATACTAACACCTAAGATTTAAAAATAGCATGAAGTGGTCAGCTTGCCATCAACACAGGAATGGGTCCAAAGCTGCCCAGTCCCCTTTCCAAGAATCCTACAAGGGAGATCTCTCTTCTGTTGCATTGCACTTTCCAAATTAATGTGCGTCACTTCAGGTTTCCCATTCTAGTATCCCACAAATGACAGCCATTCTCCTCTTGAATCGTCAGCCTTTTCTGTTCTAGCCCCAGTGGAAACCAGGGGCAAATGATGAGGAGACAGAACTCCTTGCTTCAAAGTGATTATCATTAACGACAACAACAACAAAAGATTAACTGAGAGCCATTCAAAGCCTGCTAGCAACTGCCTATCAGAACAGAATTTCAACAATAAACACCTTGTGTATTTTTTTAACTTAACAGTTCAATCCACATACCAGCATTTTACATAAGAAAATGTGTCTCTCATAAAAGAAATAAAACTAAATGGGGAAATACTGCAGGGTAGGGTGGCACACCTCCTTAATTACAGAACCTAGGAGTGAGGGTAGAGGACCCTGTCTCAAAAAGAAAAAGGGGAAATACTGAAGTGAATTCCTCTTAGGTTATTAAGGCACTCTAAGATATCTTTCCAAATTAAGCACAACATGACGTGAGAGGGAAAAAAATCTAACAGAGAGAGAAAGTAAGAGTGAGCATGTGAAGCTCAATTCAATCTTACGGACTACAGAGGAGGGACACAAAGATACTGCTAGTCACTCACTCCATCACTAACGGGGCATCAGACACAAAGGATGCCCAGGAACCGTTATCAGGGGAAGTCGTGGGGCTCCCTCTGTACAGTCTATAGGGTCATCCCAAGTCTTCTATCTGGGCAAGGTGACTTTCAGCATATCGAGTTACATGTTAGCGTGTCAGTCATGTGACACTGTCATGTAATGAAGAGTGATAAGAGAAACAGGCCATCCCCGTTTAAGTTGCTTCTGTCAAGTATTTAATTGCAGCTACAAGAAAAGCAAGGAACACAAAGTGGCCAGCTTGCCACAGACAGGAAATGTCATTAGTCTCTAATTCACTATTTTTCTGATCCGCCCCCAAACACACACTAGGTTGGAGGGCCTGGATCTTTAGTTCAAAAAGATGTTTATCAAAATTCAGTTGCACTGTGGGGTTCTCCTTTTCCTAACTGGCCCCAGCAACACTACAGAGGAGAACACAGGTAAGCCAGCAAGCTGCAGGCTGTCCACCACACAGGCCTCGGAGAAGCCACCTGAATGTGAACGGGGTAGGGCACTCTGAGGGATCAGCACACT